TTGAGAACCACTGGCCTAGGGAGTGGCTGAGACTGTACAGTAGTGCTTAGTAGAGCCTAGTAAATAGAAGTGAGCAGGTTATTCAGCCATTAAAGCATCTAACCTATATTGCTCCAGGAGTTATGGTGAAGAACCCATTCATATAGCCCACAGATTTGTGGTAGCATTGTAGAGCATGTTCCTACCTGGTGAAAGGGTGATGGGAAAGATTAAATGTGTGCAATCATATTATGAAATGTGTGTAATTACATATTATACTCCTGGTGGAATTCTGCACCAAAAAAATAAAAATTCTGCAACAAAAAATTTAAAATTCTGCACATAATATTTTAAAATTCTGCATATTTTATTTGTCAAAATAACTCAATATAACCACACCAGTTTCAATTATTTTGGTCATTTATTTCAAAATATCCATTAGCAAGTATGTCTGTAACAATACAGGCCCTCCGAACCTCTTTAGCCCTTGCTAAAGAAAACCTACAGGATGCTCAAAAACAGCAAAAAGCCTGGTACGATAAACATGCCAGAGAGCGTTCCTTCAAAGTAGGGGTCCAGGTCATGGTCTTAAAGGCGCTCCAGGCCCATAAAATGGAAGTGTCGTGGGAAGGGCCATTCACGGTCCAGGAGCGCCTGGGAGCTGTTAATTATCTCATAGCATTCCCCACCTCCAACCGAAAGCCTAAGGTGTACCATATTAATTCTCTAAAGCCCTTTTATTCCAGAGAATTAAAGGTTTGTCAGTTTACAGCCCAGGGAGGAGATGACGCTGAGTGGCCTGAAGGTGTCTACTACGAAGGGAAAAGTGCTGGTGGCGTGGAAGAGGTGAACCTCTCCATGACCCTTGGGCGTATGCAGCGACAGCAGATCCAGGAGCTGTGCACTAGCTACGCGCCGACGTTCTCAGCCACCCGAGGACTGACTGAACAGGCATACCACTCCATTGACACAGGTAATGCCCACCCAATTAAAGTCCAACCTTACCGGGTGTCTCCTCGGTATGGGAGATCCAGGATATGCTACAGATGAGTGTAATCCACCCCTCCTGCAGTGCATGGGCATCTCCAGTGGTTCTAGTTCCCAAACCAGGTGGGGAGATACGTTTTTGCATAGACTACCGTAAGCTAAATGCTGTAACTCGCCCAGACAACTATCCAATGCCACGCACAGATGAACTATTGGAGAAACTGGGACGGGCCCAGTTCATCTCTACCTTGGACTTAACCAAGGGGTACTGGCAGGTACCGCTAGATGAATCTGCCAAGGAAAGGTCAGCCTTCATCATACATCTCGGGCTGTATGAATTTAATGTACTCCCTTTTGGGCTGCGGAAATGCACCCGCCACTTTCCAAAGACTTGTAGATGGTCTCCTAGCGGGATTAGGAGAATATGCAGTCGCCTACCTTGACGATGTGGCCATATTTTCGGATTCCTGGGCAGACCACCTGGAACATCTACAAAAAGTCCTTGAGCGCATAAGGGAGGCAGGACTAACTGTTAAGGCTAAGAAGTGTCAAATAGGCCTAAACAGAGTGACTTACCTTGGACACCAGGTGGGTCAAGGAACTATCAGCCCCCTACAGGCCGAAGTGGATGCTATCCAAAAGTGGCCTGTCCCAAAGTCAAAGAAACAGGTTCAATCCTTCTTAGGCTTGGCCGGTTATTACAGACGATTTGTACCGCACTACAGCCAAATCGCTGCCCCACTAACAGACCTAACCAAAAAGAAACAGCCAAATGCTGTTCAGTGGACCGAAAAGTGTCAGAAGGCCTTTAACAAGCTTAAAGCGACACTCATGTCTGACCCTGTGCTAAGGGCCCCAGACTTTGACAAACCGTTCCTAGTAACCACAGATGCGTCCGAGTGTGGTGTGGGAGCAGTCTTAATGCAGGAAGGACCGAATCAAGAGATCCATCCTGTCGTGTTTCTCAGCAAGGAGCTGTCTGAGAGGGAAAGCCGCTGGTCAGTCAGTGAAAAGGAATGTTATGCCACTGTCTACGCTCCGGAAAAGCTATGCCCATACGTTTGGGGATGGCATTTCCACCTGCAAACCAACCAGGCTGAGCGACAGTGGCTTCATACCACCACGGGAAAAAACAAAACACTTATTCGGTGGACTTTAGCTCTCCAAGATTTTGATTTCGACATACAACACATTTCAGGAGCTTCTAACAAAGTGGCTGATGCACTCTCCCGTGAAAGTTTCCCAGATTCAACTGGTCCAAATCGTCCTTAAGATGTGGGAAATATTGTTAGTCTTTATACAGTTAGTAGTATATTTAGAGATGCCTGGGTCTTATTAACTCTGTTTTCTCCTAGAGCTCCAGGAAGAAATCACAGCCAGTGTTTCACCCTATCTGTGATTTGGGGGGCGTGTCAAAAATATAAAGGGAAGGGTAACCACCTTTCTGTACATAGTGCTATAAAATCCCTCCTGGCCAGAGGCAACATCCTGTTACCTATAAAGGGTTAAGAAGCTCAGCTAACCTGGCTGGCACCTGACCCAAAGGACCAATAAGGGAACAAGATACTTTCAAATCTTGGGGGGGGGGTGGAGGAGGAGGAGGAAAGACTTTTGTTTGTGCTCTTTGTTTACGTGGTTGTTCTCTCTTGGGACTGAGAGAGGCCAGACAGAAATCCATCTTCTCCAACCCATCCTAATCCAAGTCTCCAATATTGCAACCAATATAGGTAAGCCAGGCAAGGTGGATTAGTTTATCTTTTGTTTTATGTGAATTTTCCCTGTGTTAAGAGGGAGGTTTATTCCTATTTTCTGTAACTTTAAGGTTTTGCCCAGAGGGGGATCCTCTGTGTTTTGAATCTGAATACCCTGTAAAGTATTTTCCATCTTGATTTTACAGAGATGATTTTTACCTCTTTTTTTTTTTTTTTTTAATAAAATCCTTTTAAGAACCTGACTGATTTTTCCATTGTTCCAAGATCCAGGGGTTTGGGTCTTTGATGTTTTGTAACAAATTGGTTAGGCTATTATTCTCAAGCCTCCCCAGGAAAGGGGGTGTGTGGAGCTTGGGGGGATATTCTGGGGGAAGACGTCTCCAAGTGGTCTCTTTCCCTGTTCTTTGTTTAAAACGCTTGGTGGTGGCAGCATACTGTTCAAAGCCAAGGCAAAGTTTGTACCCTGGGGAAGTTTTTAACCTAAGCTGGTAAGAAAAAGCTCAGGGGGTCTTTCATGCGGGTCCCCACATCTGTACCCTAGAGTTCAGAGTGAGGAAGGAACCCTGACACAGCCAACAAGAGGGGTCGCAGGGACCAGCCAGTCAGGGCCCAGAAGGCTCATATAAAAGGAGCTGAAAGGGCTGGATAGATCAGTCTGCTTGCTGGGACTGAGGAAGCTAGAGGAGCTCCTGGCTGACTGCAGGGGCTAAGGCAGGTAGTTGCTGGCAGGGAGCAGGAAAGCGAGGGAAGAGTTTCTGGATGGCTACCAAGACTCAATTAAGATGGGCTACAGGGAAGCGGCCCAGGGAAATGTAATTAGTTAAAGGGACATGGTATGTGGCTGCTACTTAGAGGGTCCCTGGGCTGGGACTTGGAGTAGTGGATGGGCCTGGGTCTCTCCTCCCACCCCCAACAGCCATTGGGAAAGTGGCTTTTCCCTGAGAGAAGGGAATTTAGACAGGCCTATGGAAGGGACTGTACGTGGACCTGTTCCGGCCCCCCTGGAAGGGGGCTGAACTGAGACTGACCCAGCTGGATACCTGGGGTCACAGAACTAAAGAGCAGGTGAAGAGCCTCCAGGGATGAAGCCCTGGGGGGTGCTGCTCCATCCTGGAGCAGGAACCTTCACACATAAGCTGACCACCTAGGGTACTGAGAAAGGACTTGTTGGTCAGACTGAGGACCGAGCCCAGGGCGAGCTAAAGAGACATTGCCAACAGAGGGGTACCTGTACCATGATGGGCCCAGTTGGATTGTTGAAGGACTGAGCCCAGGGAGGGCTGTAGGACATTTTGGACTTATACTCCAGAAGGAGTTTGTTTGTTTGCAAACGGACTGTGAGAGAGACTTGGCGGGAGGGCTGAGTCACCAAAGACCCGCCTGACAAGCACAGCAGCTGACGGGTCACCGTGAGCCTAGAAATTGAGAAACTGCAGGCACGCAAACACTCAACTGGGGGTGCTCATGAGAGGCGGGTGCCACCCCATTACATATTCACTATCATGGTTAAGCCTTTCTTTGCTCCTTCTACAATAGCCTGCAGGCCAGTGTGGCAGTCTGTATGAGAATACACTGGCTCACAATCAAAAATGTAAATAATGAAACTTTGTTTACTATTTTCACTATGAAAAGTTTCTCCGTTACAGAAGGATGTTTATTTTTATTACGTTTTATGCACTTTTCAGTTAGAGAGTTTCTCCATCTTGGAAGATGGCCTGGACATTTTCAACATTCTTTTGAATGGGTACATGAAAAGTGAACTCTATAGTCTGCCTCACATGGCATATCCCATAAAGATATTTGTTCTGCTACTTAGCATTATACTAGTGTTTCCACATGTGCTTAACATATATTTATCTAAGTTTTTACAAATCTACTATACTATTCGACCTTTAGAGTTGTAGTCTCACAATTAAGTCCTTACAATTCAGTTACATTCTAAGAAGCAACTTGATAAAAAAATACCACTGTGAGGTATTAAGCTTATTGTCTCAATGACTTTCATATCACAGATAGTTTATAAATAAGCTGGATTTTTCTAACTATCAGCTCTGCAAATGGCTAGCTGTTCTATTGCTAGCTCATGTATCATCACCAAAAGACTCTGGAATTAGCAGTTAACAAACAATACTGTTGAGTAATAAGGTGCCATTTTACATAGTGACTGATCTAAGCATAACTGTACTTTAACACTACTAGTAAAGCAGCTATAAGTAAAGAGAAAATAAGCATTACGCAAGACCACTGACAGAACATGAGGATACATATACATTTCAGTATGGGACTACTATAGCTTTGACGAAGAAGAATTTGTTTACTTACCTATGTTTATTTTATTTGATTTTCCACTTTTTTCAGACTCCTGTTTTAAGAAAAGAAAAAACCATGAGGATGCCGACAAAAATCCTAATGTTTGCTTCCAGAGATCTAAATAATGAAGTGTTCATCAGGTTCTATCCGAATTCTTAGCATGTTTTAACAGACTCTAGGATTAAAAAAGTCCTAGAGTAAAGCCTTTCAACCCTCAGGGACAGCTATTTAATATAATCAGGACATTTTCTACATGGTCATACAATGATTGAAGCAATGTATTTGCATATTTAAAGAATCATTGAAAAGCATTTTATAATGCTTATTTTTTAACAAATTCCTCCATAATTAGATTTGTATTACTGTGAGCATTTTACTTTTTTTAAAAACGTCCTTTGTGGATACCAGTTGTGACTAAACACATAAAAAGGTACAAAACACAGAAAAAAAAAACATAGCAAATTCAGGAACTCCTCATTCATACATGATCCGCTACCACATGTCTCTTGAGATAAACAAGATGGATGCGGTAATACCTTTTATTGGACCAATTTCTGTTGGTGAGAGAGACAAGCTTTCAAGCCACAGTGCCCTTTTTCAGGTCTGGAAAGGTTCTTCCAGCATCACAGCACAAGGCAAGGCGGAACAGAGGGTTTAGCTTAAATAGTTAGCACACACACCTCTACCCTGATATAACGCGGTCCTCAGAAGACAAAAAAAAAAAAAAAAAAGCTTACATTGAGCTCTTCTTCTGGTCCGGGTAACCCATTCCAGTGCTTCAGATATAGAGTGATCGCTCTCTGAAAAGTAAAAAAAACCAACAACAAAAAACGAGGAGTCCTTGTGGCACCTTAGAGACTAACAAATTTATTTGGGTTTAAGCTTTCGTGGGCCAGAACCCATTCTAGCCCATGAAAACTTATGCCCAAATAAATTTGTTAGTGTCTAAGGTGCCAAAAGGACTCCTCGTTTTTTTTGCTGATACAGACTAACATGGCTACCACTAAAACCTGTCATCTCTGAAAAGTGTTCACTAACAAGTGATGTGGTGTTTTTGTCTTATTTTCCAGTGATAGTTCATTTGAGAGCATAGTGATTGTCTGGTTTCACTCACATAGTTCTTGAGGTAAGCTCCTCACAGAACAAGAGATATCAATTGGACAAGAAACTGGATATGAGTCAGCAGTGTGCCCTTGTTGCCAAGAAGGCTAACGGCATATTGGGCTGCATTAGTAGGAGCATTGCCCGCAGATTGCGGGAAGTGATTCTTCCTCTCTATTTGGCACTGGTGAGGCCACATCTGGAGCATTGCATCCAGTTTTGGGCCCCCCACTAGAGAAAGGATGTGGACAAATTGGAGAGAGTCCAGCGGAGGGCAATGAAAATGTTTAGGGGGCTGGGGTACATGACTTATGAGGAGAGGCTGAGGGAACTGGGGTTATTTAGTCTGCAGAAAAGAAGAGTTGGGGGGGGCGGCATTTGATAGCAGCCTTCAGTACCTAAAGGGGGGTTCCAAAGAGGATGGAGCTAGGCTGTTCTCAGTAGTGGCAGATGACAGAACAAGGAGCAGTGGTCTCAAGTTGCAGTGGGGGAGGTCTAGGTTGGATATTAGGAAACACTATTTCACTAGGAGGATTGTGAAGCCCTGGAATGGGTTACCTAGGGAGGTGGTGGAATCTCCATCCTTAGAGGTTTTTAAGGTCCGACTTGACAAAGCCCTGGCTGGGATGATTTAGTTGGTGTTGCTCCTGCTTTGAGCAGGGGGTTGGGCTAGATGACCTCCTGAGATCTCTTCCAACCCTGAGGTTCTATGATTCTATCTCCAAGTGGCAATAGACCCTACCAGAGCAACAGATTCAAAACCTGCACTCCTATCTCCTCTGCTATAATGTTCAACACACCTTTCAAGATCCATGGGTTCCACACATGCCTATCACAACATGTGGTGTTCCACATCCAGTGCACTAAATGCCCCAATAGCAACTGTGTGGGTGAAATCAGATAATCACTATACCCTCAAATTACACAGGAAAATAAGACAAAAACACCACGTCACTTGTGAGTGAACACTTTTCCTGTGCCAGCAATGCCCCTCTGCCATGTACATTGGCCAGACCGGACAGTCTCTGCGCAAAAGAATAAATGGACACAAATCAGACATCAAGAATTGTAACATTCAGAAACCATTAGGAGAGCACTTCAATCTCCCTGGACACTCAATAACAGACTTAAGTGTCCATTCTTCAACAAAAAAACTTCAAAACCAGACTTCAACAAGAAACTGCAGACTGGAATTAATTTGCAAACTTGACACCATCAAATTAGGCCTGAATAAAGACTGGGAGTGGCTGGGTCACTACCTCCCACTGTTGATACTCACACCTTCTTGTCAAGTGTTGGGAATGGGAATGGGTCACTTCCACCCTGATTGAATTGGCCTCGTTAGCACTGACCCCCACTTGGTAAGGCAACTCCCATCTTTTCATGTGCTTTATATTTAAACCTGCTTACTCTATTTTCCACTCAATGCATCTGATAAAGTGGGTTATATCCCACAAAAGTTTATGCCCAAATCCATTTGTTAGTCTCTAAGGTGCTACAAGGACTCCTTGTTGTTTTTTCACAGAGCGATCACTATATCTGACCAATCAGTCCTCATCCTCAAAGGAAATTTACACAACACTTTCAGAAGATGAGCCTGGGAGCTTATGTACTCTGACAGACACTAAAAATCATGGGCTTAACAGAAACACTGAATTTATGAGTTATTACAACAATCTGTAATCCTTTAAACCCCTCTTTTTGTCCTATGACTGCAGAGGTGTTAACGGACCACTTTACCTTGAATATTCCCTTACAATAAATGCAAACTACTTAAGCTAAACCCTCTGTTCCACCTTGCCTGGTGCTGTGATGCTGGAAGTACCTTTCCCAGACCAGAAGAAGAGCTCAATGTAAGCTTGAAAAATAGTCTCTCTCACCAATAGAAGCTGGTCCAATAAAAGATATTACCTCACTCACCTTGTCTCTCTAATATCCTGGGACTGACACAGCTATAACTGCATTGCATACTGAGATAAACAACATTCTTAAAGAAAACCCCTAAATCCAAGTTACACCATAGAATTCAAAGAAATACAAAAAGGCTGCTGCAGCTGCCCAAATAAACCCCCATAATTTCATGTTATACACATTTGTGATGGAATTTTAGCGGCGTGCTTAGAAACAGAGTAGTGACATTACAGCATCACAGAGGAAACCAAGACGTAAGTTCTAAAAATATCTGGGGAGCTTATTCAACTGATTCTGAATAAGCTGAAAACTGATTCGAAAGAGTGTGTGCTTGAGCTCGGCTGGCTGATAGAGAGACTAGGGGCTTGTCTACACTGGCAATTTATAGCGCTGCAACTTTCTCGCTCAGGGGTGTGAAAAAACACCCCCCCAGAGGGCAGCAAGTTTCAGCGCTGTAACATGCCAGTATAGACAGTGCACCAGCACTGGGAGCTGCGCCCCTCGTGGAGGTGGGTTTTTTTTCTCTCCCAGTGCTCTGCCGCGACCACACAAGGCATGTTAAAGTGCTGCCACGGCAGCGCTTTAGTGTTGCCAGCGTAGACTAGCCCTAAGTTTAATAGCAGCTTGGGCTTCCTACAAAAGTTCTAAAAAGAAAAAAGTCCCAGTTTGCATAGTTTCTCACTGATAGCACCTCTTCAATGCCTCCATTTCCCCACATGTAAAATCAAGATAAATATCTATTTCACAGGGATAGCATAAGGTTTAACTACGTTTAAAAAGTGTTTTGAGATGCTTAGAGGGAACGGACTAAGTACACAAGTACTGTTTATTTATTGTTAAATAGTGAACTTATTTTTAATTCCCCTACCATTGTGTCTATTAATTCCTGACTATAAATAGAACCCCCCCCCCGACATTCTTTATCATTTTTCATTTTATTTTTTGGGCAGTTTGTTTTATCCACAGAGGAAAAGAAGACATGTCAGGTCCTGCCCCTTGGGGGATGAGAGGCAGTGAGGGATTGCGAAGTGTGGGGTGGCCAGGCCGAAGCTGAGCAGCACTGCAACCCTGTGTATGGAGTTCACAAACTCCTCAAGCAGGGAGCAAGGCCAAGCCTCAGGGGACAATAGCCAAAGGAGCTATCACTGCGGGGTAAGTTTTTCATTTTAATTCTTCATACACATTGGTTTTTATTTTATTTTGTGTTATTCTGCATGTGCAAAAACCTGGGGCTCTGACTGTAAATCCCTCTCCTCCTTCCCATTATCTCCATCTAATTCTTTGGTGATTTGTTGGGAATCTCTCCCTCAATGAGACCCCACCTTTCATACCCACATATGAGTTACAGTAACCAAGCCTGGAAATCACAAATGTATGAAATCTGTGTCCGACAGAATGAGATGCAAACTGGGCTGGTAGTCTAAAGCTTGATCTACACTATAGAGTTAGGTCAACGTAAGGCAGCTTGCATCAATCTAATTCTGTAAGTGTCTACGCTACAACATTGCTCCCGCTGATTTAAATTGCCCACTACACCAACCTAATAACTCCACCTCCACGAGAGGCATAGCACTTAGGCTGATGTAGTTAGAGTGACGCATTGTCTGTGTAGAGACTATATTACTTACACAGCCAGAAGCTGGCCACTCTGGGGCAGGGCTGCTCCAGCTGTCAGTGCCCCACAATATCCCAAACAGTTAAGTCAGTAGAAGCACTCCTGATTAGGTCACGCAACACTGACAGCAGGGGCATAGTGTGGTCATGAACCACTGCAGTAATTACTGCAGTGGCTGTACGTCAACCTACTTAATTTTGTAGTCGAGACAAGGCGTCAGTCTAGTTTCCAGAAAACAGGTATCCACCTTGGAAAACACACCTTCACAACTGTCACCCTCAGTAACAGTGGCAGCAAAGTAGACAAGGGCAGAATAGTCATGAAGAGTAGGCCAATGACTTTTGAAGATAGACCTTCCATGCAGATGTATGATGCACACATAACCTTGCTCTCTGACAGCGATGTCGGAGAGTATCTGGGAGAGATACTTACTCTTTCTGGACATACAGCTCTCAGACTCAAAATAATTTGTAAAAACAAACAGGGCAAAACCTGATATCAGTTGGTTGTTATTTTTAAAATTAAAACTAACACAAACAAAATGCATTTTATTTGTTAGTTTGACCTAGAAACATAATAAAAAGAGCAGTCATCTAATTCTCTGGGCATTCTTAACAGTTTTTTTTAAAATACACTAAAATAAGCAGACCCAACAATTTCCCCAGATCAACTCAATACACAGCCTCAACATAAATATAACAAATCAATCAACTACACACAAAATCCCCACAGTCCAACACCTAGCATAACCAACACATTTCATAAGCCAAGGAGAAAGACAAGCCTTGCACATGAACATAAACAAAACAGAAGCTGGATTTCATTTGTAATCCACAATGCTTCTACCCTGGACGTGTGCCTCTCAGCCTACCAGTAAGCCATCCTCTAACTCTCTCAGATATGTCTACACTACAGCTGGGAAGGGTGATTTCCAGTACAGGTAGACAGACTCACTCTAGCTTGCTCACCTTAAACTAGCACGCTAAATATAGCCGTGTGGGCACTGCAGCACTCACAGCAGCTCGGGCTAGCCGCCCAAGTCCAAGCATGCTAACTTGAGGTGAGCTAGCACAAGTCTGTCGACCTGCACTGCGAATCACCCCTCCCAGCTACAGTGAGACATATCCTCAGATGCCCTCGATAATGGGAGCAATATTGGTCTTTGTGGCCCCTTCTCTGACCTTGAGTTAGCATTCATCCACAATGTTAAAGTAAAAGCCAGTTGAGAAATTTTCTCTAAAGAGTAAATTCTTTCAGGGGTCACAGATAGATAGGGGTTGCTTATTATAAACTGATAGAACAGTATTTACAGTATGCCATACAGTTCAGGAATGTCCTCCAAAACTGCCCAGTAATTCAAGTTTTTACTGGTAAGCACATAGGGTTGTATGGTGAAGCTTGGCACAGTTGTCACCTGTGTCATTTCTGTTCTACAAATAGAGGATTATAGTCTACAGAATTCTCAAGAGAGCACTTCTATAGGGATTAAGTTAATTTGAGTGAAGTTTTTGGAATTCTGACTTAATGGGAAGGACTTCATAACGCCCAAGACAAGTAAGAGCATACCCTGGAAAGTGACAGAAGCAAGATTTTCATTGTTTCTTTTAGTTCTACATTTGACTGAGAAGCTGCATTAGAAGTAGCCAAACAAAAAAGCATCTGATGGTAATGAAAATATGACAACTTATCTTTCATACTAGAATGCATGTATGTCAGTACCTCAAAAGTTTGTGGTACAGAAATCTGAATGTATTAAGATTAATGCTGGAGCAGCAATATCCAGCAAAAATTAAGATTTATGAACATATTAATTAGGTCTTTGACTGTGATGATGCCAAGAGATTACTGGATGCAAATTCTTCAGCTGATTAAGAATAAAAAGTGGATATTGCTCACAGAGTCTATCCCTGACTAATTCGTTTTTGGTTCTTTTTTTTTCTTTTTTTAAACCCCCAAAACCTAGCAATTTTGTTATTCAACTAAATGGGGGCAGGGATGGTTTTACCTGAATTTAGGAGTTACTTATGTGGTGTTCTCACAATATAAAAATTAGATATGCAAGTTTTATTTGCAGAGTGGCATGCATAGAAATATGTCAGATTTAATTTAGCAGAAAGGCACCATTTGATCCTCAAGTTATTCCATATTATTCAAAATCAACAAATAAGTAAAACTTAACACTTCCTATCCCCACCAAGCAGGTGTACATACATACATACATATACATACACACACACACACAGAAGTATACAATGAAAACTGGGAGGAGCTCTGTGTTGATAGTGTTGTGTGTTCAAAATTTACTCTGGATAACTTCGTCAACTGCTATCTGTTTATACTAACTACTAAGGTTTTTACTCTACTTTTAAATGAGTACTGGACAGGAAAAATGTTTCTGTCCTCCAATTACTAAACGCAATAATTTTATTTTTGAGTGACTTCTTGTCATGCCAAAGCACTCTGCTTACTGTACAAAAGAACCTACCTAAAATGTGATAATGAAAGACTTCAACTGACATTACCAACTGGCAAGACAGAAGAGGAAGACAGAGTAGGAAAGCAGCTACCACAATATGTGATCAGTACCACAAAAAATGAAAGAATTTGACAGTTGCAGGTCTCAGCAATGCAGATTTGGGGACTTCCATAGGCCAATTTATAATTGCATATATATAAAATTTATGTCTAAATTGCAAAACAAGTTTTACAACATTTCTGTTAGAAAAATGGATGTGTTAAATAAAATAAAGCTATAACTCTTAAAATACAATATCAAAATATATTAGATCCAGTTTAAGAAAGGGATTGAAATGAATAAAATCAATAAAGGACCAGGTGTGGTCATTCTAAGAACTCTTTGGGTAGGAAAAGCTGTAAAATAGAGGCTCTAGAAAAGTGGTATTACTAAAGATGTGCTAGGCGCCTCAGAGAAAATAAGGCAGCATTAGGTCCTGGCTCCAATGAAATCAATGACAAAGACCTCATTGAGTTCAAAGGGATCAGAATTTTACCCACAGTCTCTTCCCCAAAGATTTTATAATCTAGATGGTACATTACTGCTGCTACAGAATTAGAATTTACTACCTGTGATACCAGTCGCTCAATCTGATCCTTTGCATCTTCAGCAGCTACACTTACAGCCAAAGCTGGGGAAAAAAAAAAAGCAAAAATAATATATTTTTTCAAAATACAGTAGTTGATCATCACATTGGACAAAGTTCTGCCTTTTTAGAACAAGAAAGCAACTTAGATAATAAGTCACTTAATGTGGAGAATATTTGTGATAATCTTTTCAACCACTGGACAATCTGCTGTTTGAGAAGCTGCACTGATCTAGCCTGACAATTCTGTTATCATACATTTCTGAACAGAAAATTGTTCTTTGATGTGAAGCCAACTGATTTTGGCTTCAAGTCAAAATAAATCTCATTTAAAAAAAGAAAAAACATCTGGCCAGTCCAATGATTCAGATGATAGTGCAATGTATCATATGGGAGGACTTAGATTTCACTCTACCCTGAGGTTAAGGGTTGTGTTTATTATAGAGAAGACCCACTGGAAATCCAGCGTGAAGGCGAGTTCATACACAAACTCTCTGAAATAATGTCACGAGCTGGCATAAAACTATCATAACTGAAGAGGGCCATCATATTTCTTGATCACATACTCTGAACAGCAAGCAGTATAGCCGTTTTTAATGCATGGGGAAAGGAGGTCCAATTAGGAATTAACAGGGTGAAGAGAGGCCCAGGCTCCCAATTTGGACTGACCTAATATTATCTTGAGTCCCTGCCCACTGGTAAGTTGAAATTGCCTTAGGAGCACACACGTCCACATTAATTTCTTTCTAACCTTTAAGTAATTAAAATTTGAAAAAAAGATTTTTATTAATTTTTCTGCTTCCTTCCCAATGTAACTTTTTAGCCAATTATGTCTCAATTTACCTGCCTGTAAAATGGGGATTATATTTACCTCAGGGGGCTGAGGCTTTGAAAAGATTGTTAAGATTTTTTTTTTAAATTAAAGGTGACAAAGAAGTCAAAAGTATTCTGAACCAAAACTGCTATAATTTAAGGAAAGATCCAAAGACTCCACTCAGCCTGGTCACTTATTACACAATTACTGTTTCCCTTGACACCAAGAAAGCCTTCTACTGGGTCAGATGAAGTTTCTTATTGCGGCTTTTAAACATATAAAGTTTGGAATGAAGTTTTTAAAAAATGAATAGCTACTCTTTATAAATCTGCTTAGCCAGAATACTAGTAAATAGTATCCCCACTAGGCATCTTGTAATTTAGGAGAAGGAATAGGCAGGATTGTCCCAACTCTTTTGTTTTTTCATTTCTGGTTATCCATAGTCCTATACCCTTTAAATTGGAGCCCAAATGTCACTAAATATCTAGGAACTGTATTTCATGATGACATCCCAGCTACTGTTGAAACTGATCTCTAACTCATACCAGTGGAGACAAGAAAACAGTGGTAAACAGCCACCCCAAAACATCTAATGGGGAAGACTTGATTTGATTAAGGCCCCTGTTCTTTCAGGGGTTATGCATGGGAAGACCCATGGGATTCAATGGCACTCTCCATTAGTGCAGGGGGTCTACCCGCACAATGTTATTTATTTTCAAATCAGACTAAGAAATCATTTTGCACTCCTATTTTGAAAGGACACAACGTGTTTTGAGAACTCCAGTGTTTTCTAATGAACAACAAAGGCTACACTACCACTTTTGTTAGTATAACTTATGTCGCTTAGGGGTGTGAAAAAACACATACCCCTGAGCGACATGGGCTATACCGACAGAAGCGCCGGTGTAAACAGTGCTATGTTGGCAAGAAAACTTCTCCCGCCAACATAATAAAACCATCTGCACAAGCGGTGGTAGCTATGTCAGCTAGCGAGCTCTCTCCCGCTGGCATAGAGTGGCTACACGAGTGATCTTACCAAGGTGCAGCTGCATTGGTTCAGCTGTGCCGCTGTAAGCTCACTAGTGCAGACATTGCCAAACACTAATTTTATACCTCTCTGAAAACCTCAAAATCTTATCCTCTATCTACTATATGAATCAAAATAACTGCATTTGGAGCACTACACGAGGAATACCTTGCATAGGCAAAACAGCTCCATGTCCTCTATTTGACAGAATTCTAATTTCAAGATTAATGCAAGAAATCATCCTTTGGGAAACTTAATATTCACAAGGCATTAACCTGAAAATGATGTATCACCAGGTAAATTGTGTTGCTTTGCATGACTGCAACATAAATATAGAGTTTCATTATTCTCGATTTTTAACATGCCAGTGAGGGGTTGCATAAAGGGATCTGACTTTAATATGCAACTGAGACTGAAAAGAAATACTTCCTTTCTCATCAGATCTTTAAATAACTCACACAACACAGCTTCTGAGATTTATAAAATATTAATTTACAGGATCCTTAAAATAAATCAAGGCTTACACAGCTAACCTGGAAAAAAGACTGTACTATATCCTTGACAGCACAGAAGAAAATCTAAGGAGTTATTTAGAGATGAAGTAGGTTATAAATCTCTTTTTTATATTGTCAAAAGGTACATGGAGACCACACGCCTTAGAAACATAGAATATCAGGGTTGGAAGGGACCTCAGGAGGCCATCGAGTCCAACCCCCTGCTCAAAGCAGGACGGATCCCCAATTAAATCATCCCAGCCAGGGCTTTGTCAAGCCTGACCTTAAAAACTTCTCAGGAAGGAGATTCCACCACCTCCCTAGGAAACACATTCCAGTGTTTCACCACCCTCCTAGTGAAAGTTTTTCCTAATATCCAACCTAAATCTTCCCCACTGCAACTTGAGACCATTATTCCTTGTTCTGTCATCTGCTACCACTGAGAACAGTCTAGAGCCATCCTCTTTGGAACCCCCTTTCAGGTAGTTGAAAGCAGCTATCAAATCCCCCCTCATTCTTCTCTTCCGCAGACTAAACATATCCAGTTCCCTCAGCCTCTCCTCATAAGTCATGTGTTCCAGTCCCCTAATCATTTTTGTTGCCCTCCGCTGGACTCTTTCCAATTTTTCCACATCCTTCTTGTAGTGTGGGGCCCAAAACTGGACACAGTACTCCAGATGAGGCCTCACCAGTGTCGAAGAGAGGGGACCGATCACGTCCCTCGATCTGCTGGCAGTGCTCCTATGTATACATACCAAAATGCCATTGGCCTTCTTGGCAACAAGGGCACACTGCTGACTCATATCCAGCTTCTCGTCCACTGTAACCCTTGGGTCCTTTTCTGCAGAACTGCTGCCCAGCCATTCAGTCCCTAGCCTGTAGCGGTGCATTGGATTCTTCTGTCCTAAGTGCAGGACTCTGCACTTATCCTTATTGAACCTCATCAGATTTCTTTTGGCCCTGTCATAAAAATAAAGGGAAGGGTAAACCCCTTTGAAATCCCTCCTGGCCAGGGGAAAGCTCCTCTCACCTGTAAAGGGTTAAGAAGCTAAAGGTAACCTCGCTGGCACCTGACCAAAATGACCAATGAGGAGACAAGATACTTTCAAAAGCTGGGAGGAGGGAGAGAAACAGAGGGTCTGTGTCTGTCTGTATGCTGCTCTTGCCAGAGACAGAACAGGAATGGAGTCTTAGAACTTTTAGTAAGTAATCTAGCTAGGTATGTGTTAGATTATGATTCCTTTAAATGGCTGAGAAAAGCATTGTGCTGAATAGAATAACTATTTCTGTCTGTGCATCTTTTTGTAACTTAAGGTTTTGCCTAGAGGGGTTCTCTATGTTTTTGAATCTAATTACCCTGTAAGATATCTACCATCCTGATTTTACAGGGGGATTTCTTTATTTCTATTTACTTCTATTTTTTATTAAAAGTCTTCTTGTAAAAACTGAATTCTTTTTCATTGTTCTCAGATCCAAGGGTTTGGGTCTGTGGTCACCTATGCAAATTGGTGAGGCTTTTTATCCAACATTTCCCAGGAAAGGGGGTGCAAGTGTTGGGAGGATTGTTCATTGTTCTTAAGATCCAAGGGTCTGGGTCTGTAGTCACCTAGGCAAATTGGTGAGGCTTTTTACCAAACCTTGTCCAGGGAGTGGGGTGCAAAGGTTTTGGGAAGTATTTTGGGGGGAAAGACGCGTCCAAACAGCTCTTCCCCAGTAACCAGTATTAGTTTGGTGGTGGTAGCGGCCATTCCAAGGATAACGGGTGTAATATTTTGTACCTTGGGGAAGTTTTGACCTAAGCTGGTAAAGATAAGCTTAGGGGTTTTTTTCATGCAGGTCCCCACATCTGTACCCTAGAGTTCAGAGTGGGGGAGGAACCTTGACAGGCCCAATCCTCCAATTTGTCTAGGTCCCTCTGTATCCTATCCCTACCCTCCAGCGTATCTACCTCTCCTCCCAGTTTAGTGTGATCTGCAAACTTGCTGAGGGTGCAATCCACACCATCCTCCAGATCATTTTTGAAGATATTGAACAAAACCGGCCCCAGGACCGACCCTTGGGGCACTCCACTTGATACCGGCTGCTGGCTAGACAAACTTTCCCTTGGTGAATCCATGCTGACTGTTCCTGACCACTTTCCTCTCCTCTAAGTGCTTCAGAATTGATTCCTTGAGGACCTGCTCCACGATTTTTCCAGGGACTGAGGTGAGGCTGACTGGCCTGTAGTTCCCAGAATCCTCCTTCTTCCCTTTTTTAAAGATGGGCACTACATTAGCCTTTTTCCAGTCATCCAGGACTTCCCCCGCTTGCCATGAGTTTTCAAAGATAACGGCCAATGGCTCTGCAATCACATTCACCAACTCCTTTAGCACTCTCGGATGCAATGCATCTGGCCCCATGGACTTGTGCATGTCCAGCTTTTCTAAATAGTCCCGAAACACTTCTTTCTCCACAGAGGGCTGGTCACCTCCTCCCCATGCTGTGCTGCCCAGTGCAGTAATCTGGGAGCTGACCTTGTTCGTGAAGACAGAGGCAAAAAAAGCATTGAGTACATTAGCTTTTTCCACATCCTCTGTCACTAGGTTGCCTCCCTCATTCAGTAAGGGGCCCACACTTTCCTTGACTTTCTTTTTGTTGCTAACATACCTGAAGAAACCCTTCTTGTTACTCTTAACATCTCTTGCTAGCTGCAACTCCAGGTGTGATTTTG